AAAGGATATATTATCCAGCACTACAAATTCTTTCATGCAGGTGTTTTTCTGTTCTTTCAGGACAAGAAAAATAATAGAGGTATATTTTTAGATTTCAATTAGCACTGCAGTAGACATCAGTGGGTAAGAAATGTACAGATGTGTATATTTTTACTTGCATGGTCTCCTGCAGTGATGACAAGACCTTGTCCTTGACTATGAGTAACAGTACGGTTTATAATGGAGAAGAATAATGATTGTAATTCAGAAGCAATGTCAAGCCATTGGTTGCATCTCACTGTCACAAATTGTCACAATGCAAATTAGACCCAATAATTTTTTTTTTAACCACTGAAAGTCTGCGCGTTGAAAGGTTTGTTTTTGTGGATAGGCTAATCTTACAAACATTATTACAAAATGTTCTTGCATAATGGAAAATCTTGCAACTTTTGTTACAGACAATTAGTACCTTGAAATGCTTATTATTAATGGTTTGTGCAGACAATCTACTGGATTAGCTATTATAAGTAATCATTAAAGTGTACCTTTAAGGATTTTTTCAGGTTTTTTTTTTGGGATGGAGTAGGGAATAGTTAAAACCACTGTCAGTGGGTTTTTGTAATTTGCATCCAATTGGGGAGATTTCCCTTCACATCTGGTCCTGTAAATACGAAAGGACATAAAGAAAATATCTTCAAAATTAGGGAAATACCTTCTTAGACATTTGTTTCCAGAACAAACAGCCCATCGAAAGCATTCATCTCTATTCCTGTTCTGGTGCCATTTTATAATTTAGTTTTTTTTCCTCAACTTTAGAACAGTTGACAATGGTCCTTAGGACAGATAGAGTGAATTAATCTGCCCTAATTGTGAAGAGACAGCAACAGAATTCTAACAGGGTTTCCAACCTCTCACCACTCTATTAAAAACAAAAAAAAAAGTAGAAAGTGTGTGCTTTAGATATACTTTAAACCTTACAAATATTTGGCTGATTTATGAAATTAGTTGGTTAATAAAAAGGAAAGCTGTTACCTATGGCGAACAACTGGAATTCTTCCTGAAAAAAGTAAACAAGAGTTCCTGAGTTTTCTTTGTTACTTTTTGATCAATCAAACCATTACTTGATTGGTATTTTCTCCAGCAACGTAAACTATTACAACTATTTTGATAATTATTTTCATAATGTAAATAACTATGTCATAATGCAGCCACAGATTATTACACTGTAGATTCCATTTTTTTGTTTACTATGACACAAAAGTAACAATGTAACACAGCCAATTCAATGTTTAAAGCAGAAAACTTTTATTAACCCTTACAGTGGAGCTACTCATTTTTGTCTAGGTGCTAAAAAAAGTTATACGCACCCAAACCCAGAGTCAATTCCCTGCTTCTCTGGTCACTGAAGTGCGTCTCTTCCTCTGCTGCAAAGATGGAATGTTCCTAAGTGTCCTCACATATATACACTTGTATGAAATGAAATGTGATGACACAAGGATTCTTAAACTGCTGCAGAGGAAGGGTAAAGTGGCTCCAGGGATCGGATCGAAGCTAGCTCAAATGATTGGGTGAGTATAGCACCTAGACACAAACAAGCAGTTAACCCTTGCAGTGCGGGGGGTAGCCCCACTCCAATAGTTAATGCATTTTTTCCCTGGAGTTCTTCTTTAAAATGCACCTTCATCATAGACCATTCGTTACATTTATTGTTACATAGTATTTGAGGTTGAATGTGTGTGTGTATAGGTCCCTGAGTGTTCTCATTCTTAAGAGTGCCTGTACCCTTGTACATTACGGTCTCTCAGGAAATCGTCCAAAAGCTTCTTGAATGATTCCAGACTATTTGCGGAAATCACTGCTTGATGCATTAATTACTTTTACCTTCCACTGTGTAAAGTGGCTATTTTCCCAGGAGAAGAGTGAATATATTCTCCTTTATGGTTTACTACACAGAGTGAAAGAAAATAGGATCAATATTAAAAGTATAATTTGTGAAATCAAAGGGTTGTTGCATTAATGCAGACTTTACTGCAAAAATAGGATTGATATAATGTTGCAATTTATATATACTGTAATAGCTACATGTTAAACTCTTATAAAAAATCTAATGGACATTGTATATTTTTTAAAGGGCCAGAAGGGAACTCAAGGATCTTATGGTATTCCAGGAATAAAGGTATGGCAATTTTGTTTTGTATTTTTGCTTGTAGTTTTTATTGTCTAGCGTTTCAATAATTTTGAATGAATAACTTTGTCAGCCTGTACCTCTGTAAATGCGGGGCTGACAGAGCTACTCATTAAAATAAACTTAGAGCAAGTGATCTGACACTGATCCTGCAGTGATCACGAGGGAGTTCTGGCAAAACCTTTGCAAGCTGCCCACACAGCCAGCTACATACAGCCAGGTTTACAGAGCCCTCTCCAGTAGAGGAGGAGCAATCTGGCTCCTTGCTTTGCCTCCCCCTCCAGCTCACTGTGTCACAGATTTGTTGCTGTGTTCATTTGTTAGCACTGCATTTATGGAGGTACGGTGCTTGCTGTATCAACATTCTGCATTATTATTATTATACTGCAGGATTTAAATAGCACCAACAGTTTGCACAGAGCTTTACAAAACTGAGGAAGACAATAAAGTCAACAATACAATTTTAATCCAGGAAGGTAGGAGGGCCCTGCTCATGAGGGTGTTCAATCCAGTAGGTTTATGTCCCAGCACATCCTGCACACCTGAAAGGGGAGTTCTCTACAGTCCACACAGCTGCCCACACAGCTCTGGCTCTTAATAGTTCACTGTGTGGATGAATGTATGTGCATTGACAGGGCAGTAGAAAACTTAACTGTCAGATATGCAGTATATGCTGGGACATAAAACATACTGTCAATACTGTACCTTCGTAAGAGCTGGAGGGGGAGGCACTGCCACTCCTCTACTGGAAAGGGTTCTAAACCCAGCTATGTGGGGGGCTGCAAAGAGGCTGAAAGGGAAGCCAAGAATCCCCCTGGAATGTCTGCAGGATTCAGCTATAAAGATAAATAATGTCCTGCTAGAATACTGAAAGGGCTTTCCTAAATTTCTCTGTGCTGTCAGCATCTTGAGTTGCTGGGTAACAGGCAACTACAGAATACTGTATGCTGGAATAGGGTAGAAAGGGGACAAAGAGATTAATTCAGTAAGAAGTAAGAAGCAGGACACACAGAAAGCCATGAAGGGTGCCCTGATTCCCCTCTCCCCAGGCTACTCCCTTAAGAAATCTGGTGGAGATTCTGTGATAACATCACAGCCATTTAAAGTTAAAATATTTTCAAGGTAAGACATTTTTTTTCCGATTCAATAGAAGGGTATGGAGAAGGAGGCTTAGACAACTTTTTACCATTACCTAGATTTCAGCTTTAAGTAATTCAACAGACTTTTGTTTACTCTGCTGTACAGCAGACATTATTAAACTACATAGAAACATAGTATTTGAGGTTGAATAAAGAAACTGCTATATTTCTGAATGCTACATTCTTCCGTTAGTACTTGAATGGACTCCTGGTGTGAATGTATGATGTATGGATCAGGGGCATGTTGATGAAGTGTGCCAATTGCTTACTTTTTAAAGATGGGGAGGACAATAGGATCCTTACTGACTGACAAGCCATTTGGAGGTTTAATGACCTCTCTTAAAAAATGTCCTTAAATTTACCTATTGCCAAACTGAGGGGATTATACTTCTCAGTGTTGCATTTAAAAATCCTATAAGTACAAAAGTGTCTTGTCGTGTGACAAAACCCCCTTTCATTAAACATGAAGGACAGTTATCTTCCAAGGCAGGTACATCTTCGAAGGCCATCACCCTTCAACAGTTAGAAGCATTCTAAATGAGCAACCGATAATTAAATACAATTCTAACCAAGATTACTATTTGTATGTTTAGTTTAGCTGAAGTTTGAACAACTTCTATAAGTGAATTAGGTAGCCATGGACTATGTAAGATACTAATGAAAAATCAATACATTGATCAAAAAGAGTATTGGAGGGAGAGTTCTGAAAAATTGATCTTGCACTGACTGAGATACAAAGGCCACCTATCTAGTCAATACTGCACTGGAGATTACATTTGATTTCTAGAGTGTTATTTTATAGTAGTCTGTATTTTCAGTTATGTATTTTGCAATTAATAAAGAGAGTGTTAGCTAGTTTATTATGAGCTCTTCAACAATATTAAATAGCTAAGTATGGATAGTGCATATACATGTTTTCCAGTCATCCACACACAATCAGAGGAGAGATAAATAGTAACATAACGGACGTCATTGGAGCCTGTTTTAATTCGTACAGTTGTAGTCTTGAAAGGAAATATGGAAAATATGTACCTGTGGACCTCCCTGAAAACTTCTGAGTTGTTGACTACTGATAAATCAGTATGCATTGGCTTCAGAAAAATAGATAACAGGTTTGGTATAATTTGTGCTGACAAAATGGAAACAGAGCTAACAGAACTTTTGACCATGTATAGCATTTTGTTTATTTGAAATTGTTGTCTTTTAAGCTGATTTTAACACTTCAGTATTTTTCAAAGGGTGAACAAGGAGCGTTTGGTACCAAAGGAGAGGTATGTATCTATACAGGAAATAAAAAGTTGCCCATAATGTTTGTTGTTACTCAAAAGTGAATGCACCTTATTATTTTGTGGACAATGAATATATGCAGTACATGTTCATAATATTTTTTCATGGGTGAAAGATAGGTAGATATAATTCCCACAAGAAGTCATTTTATCACTTTTTAATTTTAGCTTATAAAATAAGCAGCAAGGATTTACAAAGTCATGTTTATCTACTACTACACCTGCCAAAAAGTTTATATTCTGGTCAACTATTCTTGTAATACTTTAATACTTTGACCACACTCCACAGAAAAGCTGAACACCAAGTTCAACCAGTAGTGCCAGCTGAACACCAAGTTCAACCAGTAGTGCCTAAATTGAGTACAGAGAACTCAATACATAATTAAAGGTGTCCATATCCTGACCTGCTAGGCTGCAATTGTGAACTATAGACCTGTTTACAACTTGTCCTGTACTCAGCATCTGCCTCTAATCATATCCTGGTAATCTGCTACTTCTGATTGCATTTTATGTGTTTATGCTTGCTATGGCTGCTGTCCGACCTGACCTTCTGTTTCTTCTTTATCTCAGCTTGTCTGTTGTCAGCCTGTCCTGACCACCCTCAGGGCTGGCATTTTATTTGGCTTAACCAGAACTGTAAACTGTCATCCTAGGCTATCCCCAGGATTGCACTCTAGTACCTGTTTATGGTGCAACATCTGCTCCACTGGTAGCTCTAAAGATAACCAGATACTGCAAGAGCCTTCACCTCTGTTACAGCCTTCTGACTCCTGTTGATGACACAGAGGATTCACTTTAATTCATGACGACAGCAGCAGCAGGTGTCATGTTCCTACTCTTTGGGAAATTAATTAAAATTATGCTGTTCATAATTAGAATGTAGTGCTGCTATTTCACGGTGTGCTCTGGACTAAATCACATGATGCACTTACAAATAAGCATTTTTAAAGTGGAATTCAGTGGTCTTCCTGAAGTTTGCATGAGCAGAAACTCCTCAGTAAAAAAAACCTCAGCAATAGCAGTTCTATTGGATGACAGAATGGTGTATTCTTCTTGGAAATTGGCCAAGTAAAATATACTTAAGATAGGATGTTTGATTTTCTAGAATATACAAACTCTTTTCAGAGTCATCAGGGTTAATTTACTGAAGGCAGATAGGCTGTTCACTTTGTAAGGGAGTTTTACCTTTGCTTAGTGAATTAGGTGAAGCTCTGCTGACATCTGTCATTCAAATATGTCCAAGCAAAACAAAATGTGTTTTTTTTAATTATTATTTTTCCTGCAATTGGATATTCTTTGCAAAGTTAATTTTCAGTACATTCACTAACATTAAAAAAACATTCCCTTGCAAAGTGAACATCCCCTGCAAAGTGAATAGCCTATTTGCCTTTAGTAAATCAGCCTCATAGTCTTCACTATGGGACTATAGCAGTGGGATTTGTGGATTAGTAGAATCCTGTCTTCCACATAACAGCATTATATATCCTGTTCCACTGGATCCCACACATTCTCAAAAGTACAACAGATCCCCTCAATCCAGTTTGCAAGTTTAAATTTTTCACAATATGTACCCTCTTTATTTGTATCCAGTTCAATGTTTTCTATAGACAACAGCAATTGGTTCCAAAATGTCGTTATCTTATCTGTTTACTTTTGTGTTGAGATCAAAGGCGAGGTTTCCATCTAAGGACTCTTCCATACAGACTATCTTTGTGAAAATAGCACTTCACCTTGGAATTGTGCCTATGTGTTCTATGACATCTTCCTTTTGGGCTTTTGCTGTGATTTGAAGGTTCCACTGTGGTTAACTGAACAGCCTTGCACATACAACATTTTATGCTTCCTTATTTCCAGTCTGGTAAATTCAGCAAGTAATAGTAATTATGTATTACAATTTGCAGACAAATATAGTGTGTTTAAGTTCCCTGCAGAGGTTTTGTTTACTTTTTTTACTGAGAAAATCAGCAAAACATGTTGCAAATTGTTGTATAATTTCAAATGCCTTTCTAAAGTTAAACTGACTAATTTTCTTCACAGAAAGGGGAAGTTGGAGAATCAGGACACCAGGGAGTCAGTGGACCAAGAGGAGAACCTGGTTCTGCTGGATTTGTTGGCGCAACTGGTCCTAGAGGGATCGTTGGTGACAGAGGAGTCCCTGGACTGCCAGGACAGGAAGGAAGACCTGTATGTGTGGACAGTGGTTGAGAAAATAAGTAACTGCTTTATAATTTACCTACAATTGGGCCATGCAGTAAAAAAAATATATATATATTTCTTTGAACAAGTTGCGTTAAATTGGACTTCATTATCAGCAGGCCTATTTAGGGTTACTGAGGCTAGTAGCATTTTCAAAAGGAGAACCACAAATGTCAGCCTCTATATTTTGTTTAGTACAGACTTCCTTTAAATAAATAGTTATTATATTTACCGTCCATAAAAGCATATCAAAATGATTTTATTAAGAACTGGAATTGCTTTCCTTGAGTTACATATCACATTTAAACCCTACCCTACAGGGTTTAATCTGGTTACTGTAAGAAAACAAACCCCATTCTTACTAAGTATACATTCGGTCCATATTTACCATCCAAACTGGATTTGTGGCCATTTGGCCCTAAGTATCCCTTTAACTTGCTTATACCTTGGGTTTGAAATACAATAGGCTGAGCTCACTTCTATTTTACCTATATTAGAGCTTTGTAAATATCAGTTTTGCAAAATTGTTTTGTTGCAAATTATATTAAGGTTTTTGGATTTTTATGTAAAATCAGAACATACAATGCAAACAATGATAAACTATAGTCTTAACTACAGTCTTAATTTAAAAAGAGTAAGAACCTTTTTGTAGGCAGAAAATAAAATAAGCATATATGTCAATATATGAAGTGAAAACAGAATAACTAACTGAGAAAGAAAACTAATCAGAAAGGTTATAAAATGCCTCAGCGTCATTTTCTTATAAATGTGGTTTGTGGACACTTGAATCTTGATTAGGAATATTTATCTTTGTTTATATTTGTGTATTAATAAAATTTTTATTTTACAAAGGGCAAAGAACATTCTGAACAATTCATAAGACAAATCTGCCTTGATGTTTTAAAAGGTATGTTGCAAGATTCGAAAGTAAATTGGTCTTCTAATAAAACATTGCATTAAAGCATTCTCTAATATACAGAGTAAAACACTCTAATGAGCAAATGTATCAGTAACAAGAGAAATGCAACATGTAAACCTAAAATAATCTTACTGAGTTAATAAAAAAAAAGAAAATGATCTAAAATATTCTGTAAATTAGATTGTAACACTCACTAATTAAGGATCAGTTCATGCAGAACTGAAAGGTTTGTGTTTAGCTATCAGGTCCTGAAAAGTAAACCAAGTGAGTTCTTAGGTCAGCTCACCAGACTTCACATTTCCCTGAAATATCACTTTTCGATGGATTGGCCCTTAAAAAGAGGTACTTCCAGTTCATTATTTAGTCACTTGAAACTGCCAAAGGCTATGTTTAGGTAAATATAAGTAAAAAAACCCCCAAATAATTATTTTCCACCGGATACCAGAACATGCTGAATTGCAAAGTTGGTTACCTCATAAAGTGTAGAGTCCAAGTCTGGGCGTGAGGAAGCAGAGAAACCCAGATACTCCAAGCAATGTGTCAGTTCCAGCACTGATTTTTTTAGTTTTAGGATCCAACCAAACCTTTTTAGGTATCCCAAGATGAGAATACCCCACACTTGGGGTGTGGACAATAGAACAATTAATAAAACTGCTGTCAGGATTGGACTCAAGGACATGGACCCTTGGCTACACTTATGGGACACCTAAGCTGGTACGAAAGGTGCAAGTAGTGTGTGCCAACTGGGAGATGGACTCAGCAGAGAATGACCGAAAGTCTGGACAAAGCAGAATACTATAATACAGAGTGGGTAACATGAAATCCCCCAGGGCATGGAGTCTAAGGGCCAGACAGTATTCACCAGAGCTCCTGCTAGACGAGATGGACTAAGCTGCATGCTGGCCCCAGGTCACGACCTCTAGGTTCACCTTACTCTGCTAACAGTGGAAGATGGTGAACAAGGCCAGGTCAGGGCAGGCTGCAGACATGAATATCAGCAGACAAGCTGAAGGTCAAGGCAGGCTGCGGACATGGATACCAGGAGACAAACCGAAGGTCAGGGCAGGCTGCGGATACAGATACCAGGAGACAAGTCGAAGATCAGGATAGACAGCACACAAGGATTTCCAGGGGAAAGTCAAAGGTCAGTACACAGATTACACAAGTTAGTAGAACTGCAAGTAACAGATCAGCTGCAATGCTGATTTTTTACAGTACTGACAGCTGCAAACTGTGGCAGGAAGAATTTATTGGTTGCTGAAGAAGAAATGGTGTGAACAGAATGGGAAATGTGTGTGCTGTACTACAGCTGATGACAGAGCAGTAATTCCCCAGTGTATATACTCTTTCCACAAAGACTGTCAAAATAGGGACATAATGGTAAATGTAAAAGGTAGCAAAGTGTAGTAACAGCTAGTCTTCAGCATCTTATCATGTACTGATAAGATCCAATAGAGGCAGGGCTCACCAAAGGCAGTGCCTTGGCTCTATATATGGAACGTGCAGTGCAACTAATTAACACAGTACTGAAAATCTAGATAGCACCACTGGAAGAGCCCAGTACCTGGGCTCTTCCAGGATAGGCCTTCAATCATAAATCCAGTGGGGTCTGGGTACGGCCTCCAAGATGACACCAAGGATTTTCCAATCCAGATATCTGCACAGTGTATTCAGCTTAGCAGCATGAAGATGAAGTCTTGATTGAAGAAAAAAGTATCTTGATGAAAAAAGAGACAAGTAAAAATAAAAAGAGGGAAAACGTTTCTTATCAAAGAATATACGTCCATCCTCTAAGGACACTAGCAAAAAAATCAAAGTATGCTGGGAGCTGGATGGTCAATTGTTTTTTGCTTGCCAGCATCCAAATCTTCAAGAAGACGGCAGTATAATGAAATTGTACCCTAATAACTACTGATCCTGTGTACCTTAATGAACAATTCAAAGTGCTTTACTAAAAAAAGTTCCCCAATGTAAATTCAACATACGTCACATTGTCCAGTGATGTAGATCCTTATCAATCACAATGGCCCACTGCCTGACAATGTTGACCCACGGCCACAATGACCCGATGCCCAATTATGCTGCGCCGTCATTACTTTGATAGCAAATTACAGATCCCTTGCTGAGTACTGTAATTGACCAAATAAGCTCATGACTATACTGTATTTGGTCAAAGGCATCACCTTTGATTGGTTTGTTTACAAGCAGAAGCCAGCCAGGGATATTTCATTTAGCAGGGGTAGTGCTACTGCTGCTGAATGACAGATCCCCAGATGCTGTTTGTTAACAACACATGCCAGTTTTAACCCTTTCCCTGCCATCGCCGTAAGGCATACGTCGGAACAAAACTGTTCCCAAATGGCCAGGTCAGTATGCCTTACGGCGGTGGCATTTACAGTTCTGCTATAAGCTCATGGTCGCTTTAGCGACCATGAATTTATATCCGGACTGTCCCCTTTAAATTAATAGCTGTCATCAGCTGCTCACAAACCAAAATTCCGGACACCACCCCCAAATACCGGGCGCCCCCCCCCGCCGCCGCCGGCCGCCGGCATCTGGA